ACCTAGCCTCCACAATCCCCCGACCTCAACCCAATTGAGATGGTTTGGGATGAGTCGGACAGCAGAGTGAAGGAAAAGCAGCCAACAAGTGCTCAGCATATGTGGGGACTCCTTCAAGACTGTTGGAAAAGTATTCCAGGTGAAGCTGGTTGAGAGAATGCCAAGAGTGTGCAAAGCTGTCATCAAGGCAAAGGGTGGCTATTTGAAGAATCTCAAATATAAAATATATTTTGATGTGTTTAACACTTTGTTGGTTACTACATGATTCCATATGTGTTATTTCATAGTTTTGATGTCTTCACTATTATTCTACAATGTAGAAAATAGTAAAAATAAAGACATTAGTAGGTGTTCTAAAACGTTTGACTGGTAGTGTATGTAAACAAAACACTATATAGCCTCATAACACGGTTAAAACAATCATTTTGATACCATGGATAGTCAGTCCTTACATCCATAGCTCTGTTTATGGATTTGAGAGTGGTTAAACATATCTCCAACCCCATCCCTTAGCTTTTTACCGAACAAGGGGTGGGGAGTCCCTTTGTTATTGTTTCTACTGCTGATTGCTGCTTTAAGAAGTTAAGCTGCACCTTAAATACACACCAAAATATGTTACAGATACTATAGAAATGTCACATCAGACCGTTAGTGAATACACAGCATGCAGCACAGCAAACAATCAATCAATTGTATTTCATCTATGGCGGTTAGGGGCAGGACTCGGTCCTATACTGATGGCTGTGCGCGTAATCTAGCTGGGCCTTGAGCTCTTTAGTGATGGTCCCAGTGGACCTCGTCTCCACCGCAGCAGAGGAACACTGGCACCCAGCGGTCAGTTTGGCTGTACTAAACATTCTTTCCTGTAAAAGATTAAGGCATCTATTAGGCTATAGATAGGCTGGACAATTGAACGAGTCAAAATTCACCCAAGGCTGAAAAACGGCAATAGAACGTTGGCTAAGCTGGAACACTAGCGCGAGCCCATAGCAAATGAATTGAATCGAACGTTCGGAGAGCTTATTTGGACTGGAATGATGATTAGAATTCCATTTTGCCTAAATGGCACAAAAAAATGTATCCCTTTTCATATTACCACTACAATCTGTTAGTTGGTCAATGACTCCCTTCCATTCGGAAACTCCCGGTTGCCGCATCGAAAGTGCCCTTCATTGCAAAGTCTTCGTCCACGAAATGCTGGCTGCAAATCCTGCTAGCTCGAGCTGGCACGTCCTTCCTCTTTAGGACATGGAGCCACAGTTGTTGGTCCTTGGGTAGCCAATGGTAGCTTACCAAGGGATTTTGTTTTTGTGCCAATTCGTACAGCCTTACGCTATACAGTTCATGTTTGATTTACTACTTGTTGTTGCCATCTTCCTCGTCCGCATGTAACCTCACTCTCTTCGATTCACGCTAAAACGCAATACCACACCACAGACAATTTTCTGATTCCTGCCACTGATGCTCTGCCGTCAGTCGTTACTATGGCAATTTAAAATGGTGCTGGCCATAGCTCAAATAGCCTAAACCTTGTCAATGCTCAAAATACTAAATATAGAGATGTTTTTATGTTAAATACACGTTTAGTATTACCGTAGTGAATTGAATACATCTCTTTGGCTTAGCTTTACTTCCTAAAGTGTTTCCATTCCCCTTTAAATATTTAAAACACATTCTGCACTTCTAATGCTTTCTGGCAATGAATTCAACAAGTTTGGAGCCTGCACTAAACGCTCTCTCACCTATTGTATTGGATATGTCAAGGGAATCCTGTCAAGGGAATCCTGTAAACAAACTTGGTTTTTAATATACTCAAAGTTCTGCTAAATATTTAGAGGCAAAGGCTTGCAATGCTTTGTAGGTCATGAATATCATGTTTTAATCTATTCTAAATACCACTGCCAATTAGTGTTAAGGTGGCTTAAACTGGGCCCGTATCCACAAAGCGTATCGGAGTAGAACATTGTTCGTAAGTCCTTGAGATGTTTCTACAACTTGAATGGAGTCCACCTGTGGTAAATTAATTTGATTGGACATGATTTGGAAAGGCACACACCTGTTTATATAAGGTCCCACAGTTGACAGTGCAAGTCAGAGCAAAAACCAAGCCATGAGGTTGAAGGAATTGTCCATAGAGCTTCGAGACAGGATTATGTTGACGCACAGACCTGGGGAAGGGTACCAAAACATTTCTGATGCATTGAAGGTCCCCAAGAACACAGTGGCCTCCATCATTTTTAAATGGAAGAAGTTTGGAACCACCAAGACCCTTCCTAGGGCTTGCCGCCCGGCCAAACTGAGCAATCGGGGGAGAAGGGCCTTGGTCAGGGAGGTGACCAAGAACCCAATGGTCACTCTGACAGAGCTCCAGAGTTCCTCTGTGGAGATGGGAGAACCTTCCAGAAGGACAACCATCTCTGCAGCACTCCACCAATCAGGGCTTTATGGTAGAGTGGCCAGACGGAAGCCACTCCTCAGTAAAAGTCACATGACAGCCCGCTTGGAGTTTGTCAAAAGGCATTGAAAGGCTCTCAGACCATGACAAGCAAGATTCTCTGGTCTGATGAAACCAAGATTAAATTATTTGGCCTGAATGCCAAGCATCACGTCTGGAGGAAACCTGGCACCATCCCTATGGCGAAGTATGGTGGTCGCAACATCATGCTGTTAGAAAGTTTTTCAGCCACAGGGACTGGGAGACTAGTCAGAATTAAAGGAAAGATGAACGGAGCAAAGTACAGGGAGATCCTTGATGAAAACCTGCTCCGGAGCACCCAGGACCTCACACTGGGGTGACGGTTCACCTTCCAACAGGACAACGACCCTAAGCACACAGCCAAGACAACGCAAAAGTGGCTTCGGGACAAGTCTCTAAATGTCCTTGAGTGGCCCAGCCAGACCCCGGACTTGAACCTGATCGAACATCTCTGGAAAAACCTGAAAATAGCTGTGCAGCGACACTCCCCATCCAACCTGACAGACCTTGAGAGGATCTGCAGAGAAGAATGGGAGAAACTCCTCAAATACAGGTGTGCCAAGCTTATAGCGTCATACCCAAGAAGACTCAAAGCTGTAATCGCTGCCAAAGGCGCTTCAACAAAGTACTGAGTAAATGGTCTGAATACTTATGTAAATGTGATATTTCACTCTTTATTTTTAATAAATGTGCAAAATTTTCTAAAAACCAGTTTTTGCTTTGTCATTATCGGGTATCGTGTGTAGATTGGTGAGGGGGTAAAAAACGATTTAATACATTTTAGAATAAGGCTGTAACATAACAAAATGTGGAAAAAGTCAAGGGGTCTGATTACTTTCCAATTGCAGTCAAGTTGAAGACACATCTCAGTGATGATCAATGGAAACAGGATGCACCTGAGATAAATGTTGAGTCTCATAGCAAAGGGTCTGAATACTTATGTGTTATGATGAGTTTTCTGGTATCAAGAAGTTCAGGACGCAAGAGAGTAGTCGAACACTTAGATGGACAGTTGATTCATAGTTATTTAATGGTTACAGTACTGGATTCGTGTGACAAGCGGTACGGCGTAGCCTCTTGTCATCCGAATGACTTACATAGAAGTCTCTCAGTTTATATCATGCTTTCCAAGCAACTTCCATCCAACAGTTGCCAACGATTATTGAGTGTCACTCATCTCCTACAATAGGATCCCCCTACATGGTATCGTGTGGCACCCTAGCCAGGCCATTCCATCACGTACTCCTTCTAAGATTAGCACCAGTGACCCCCAATCTATCTTGGCACGCCGACCTTCTGTCACCCACCAGTGACATCAATAACACATGGCGTATCCTTGCCCTCTCTCCCACATACAGCTCTCATGAGTTTAAAGACATTAACAAATACTTTATCAAAAGATGTTATATCATTATGTAAATAAGGCATTTCTGTTTATTAGGTTTAATACATTTGCAAACATAAAAAAAAGGTTTTGCTTTGTCATTATGGGGTATTGTGTGTAGATTGATGAGGATTTTTATTTATTTAATACATTTTAGAATAAGGCTGTAACGTAACAAAATGTGGAAAAAGTCAAGCGGTCTGAATACTTTCCGAATGCACTGTATAACATGACACATGTTTCTGGTATGTTCGATTGAATTGTGGGACTGTCTTTTACGGCTTGCAGGATCCATCTGGAGAGACCAGTGTCACCAGCCCCCAGTTATCTATTCATGAAGAGTTATCTATGGCTAACCCTTCTGTATTCAAGGAGGGAGACTTAACTAACAAAGAGGAGTAAGATAATACATTTTATTTATGCTATTTTATCCAATTTGATGTCACTAATAATGTATTTACTTTTGATCGTTGTAGTATATTATATTTGATTATGTCTATAGTCTATTCTATTCCTATATTTATTCAAGAAAATGTGTTGTGCATTGTAACCACCACTAGAGATCCTCACTCGCCTAGTTATGAGGTGACTTGTGTAGGCTAGGTAAGCAAGTCACCCTGCCCCACAAATTAATAGTTTAATGTTCTCGGAGTGTGTATATAACATTTTAAACGTCTGCTAGCATACAACGTTGACGTATAGCCACAGATAAAACGATGAGCCAGATGTTTCACCGGATGTATAAATGTAAAGCATGCGGTTGGCGTTTCCAGTCACTACCAAATTTGGAGAGAGCAGCGTGACCAACCCCGAGTTGTCTATCAATAAAGAGTGACCAATCAATGGTTATCCCTATTACTAAGGAGGAGGCCTCTACTCAAAAAGAGAAGTGAGATTATATCTTCCTTTGATGAATTTAGTAAACAATTAATGTCAGAATATTGCACTATATTTGACAACAATTGTAAGGATGTATGACAGAGACAAAGAGGGCCTAAACTTGTGATGCCTGTAAGGAAAGAATTAGGGCTGGAAATGGAAATGCAAAAATTTTCAATAAATCTAACAACATAATGTAGTGTAAAGAAAAATATAAATATAAAAAATAAATATATATTGTGCTGTCTTCCACTTAGCATCATGACAGGAGAGGTGGTCTGTGATGTCTGTGATGAGGTCAGAGCTGTGAAGTTCTGTCAGACCTGCACTCAGTACTACTGTGAGACCCACGTTAGGAAGCACTACACATTATCTAAACTACAGAGACACACCCTGGTGGAGGTGACTGGAGACCTGGAGGAGAGACTCTGTCAGGAGCACCACAGAGCTCTGGAGGTGTTCTGCAGGACAGACCAGAAGCTGATCTGCAGTCTGTGTGTAGTAACAGAACACAAAGGACATGATGTAGTCTATGAAGAGATAAAACAAGCAGGAAGACAGGTATAGTTTATGTTTTCTTCTCCCCTTTATCAGAAAACATGCTGTCTTTCCTCTGTTGTCATCATTGTCCAATGCAAAGTAGTGCACATTTTTTGCATCCCACTATACAAAATGTTTGTTTCTCCATAAAATACCACTTGTTCTGAAAACTATTTCATATTGATGATGTCATAGAAGACATGTTGCTCCTTCGTGATCCTCACATTTTTTCTTCTTCTGTTGTCCTTTTTGATATAGAAGACTCAAGGTGAAGAGCAACATCAAAACCAGGTTTTAAATGAAGGTATGTGTTCAAACTTTTAAGGCACAATTCACTGGTACTTTCTCCCGTGTGTTAATGGGTTGAAACAAAACATACAGTCTGTGTTTAAAATATTTATAGCCTACTGGGTGTACGAACCATAGTAAATGCTATTTACTGTACAACCCGTGTAGCTGATGTGAGTCGGACTCATGCTCAGGTAGCCCTGTCTGCGACTTAAAATCAGTGGCCACGTTTTCATGCACACCAATATCCCATTATTATTCGGATACTCAAGTATTCTGTTTTTGAGTTGACGTATATAAACATCATTTCCCGTTTACAATAACGCAAAAAAGCTTATATCCCGATTATGAGAACCTGATAAGATGCCTGGGATATGCTGATCTTAGATGTATTCTGGATAAGAGCGTCTGCTAAATGACTAAAATGTAAATGTAAAATGTATTCTGTGGCATGTCAACACCTTATCCCATTTACTGTATACTGTGGCATGTCAACACCTTATCCCATTTACTGTATACTGTGGCATGTCAACACATGATCCCATTTACTGTATACTGTGGCATGTCAACACCTTATCCCATTTACTGTATACTGTGGCATGTCAACACCTTATACCATTTACTGTATACTGTGGCATGTCAATACCTTATCCCATTTACAGTATACTGTGGCATGTCAACACCTTATCCCATTTACTGTATACTGTGGCATGTCAACACCTTATCCCATTTACTGTATACTGTGGCATGTCAACACCTTATCCCGTTTACTGTATACTGTGGGATGTCAACACCTTATCCCATTAACTGTATACTGTGGGATGTCAACACCTTATCCTGTTTACTGTATACTGTGGGATGTCAACACCTTATCCCATTTACTGTATACTGTGGCATGTCAACACTTTATCCTGTTTACTGTATACTGTGGGATGTCAACACCTTATCCCGTTTACTGTAATAATATATTTAGCTGATACTCCACACTGGACCATATAGCCTACTCGCTAAGGCTTCTTTCACCGCTAATTTAGATTGGCCTACGTTTCTGCTTATAATGTCCAACATTTGGTAGGCCATATTATAATTTCGGACATTTGGTAGGCCATTTGTTTGTCAACTATAGTTAAATACAGTGCCTTGCAAAAGTATTCATCCCCCTTGGCATTTTTCCTATTTTGTTGCATTACAACCTGTAATTTAAATATATTTTAATTTGGATTTCATGTAATGGACATAAACATTATTAATTCAAAAAAATTAATAATGGAAAAGTGGTGCGTGCATATCTATTCACCCCCTTTGCTATGAAGCCTATAAATAAGATCTGTTGCAACCAATTACCTTCAGAAGTCACATAATTAGTTAAATAGTCCACCTGTGTGTAATCTAAGTGTCACATGATCTGTCACATGATCTCAGTATATATACACCTGTTCTGAAAGGCCCCAGAGTCTGCAACACCACTAAGCAAGGGGCACCACCAAGCAAGCAGCACCATGAAGACCAAGGAGCTCTCCAAACAGGTCAGGGACAAAGTTGTGGAGAAGTACAGATCAGGGTTGGGTTATGAAAAGATATCCGAAACTTTCAACATCCCACGGAGCACCATTAAATCCATTATAAATGTTTTTGAAAGAATATGGCATGACAACAAACCTACCAAGAGAGGTCCGCCCACCAAAACTCACGGACCAGGAAAGGAGGGCATTAATTTGGACTATTTTGTGTATGTCCATTACATGAAATCCAAATAAAAATCCATTTAAATTACAAGTTGTAATGCAACAAAATAGAAAAAACGCCAAGTGGGGTGAATACTTTTTCAAGGCACTGTAAGTATTGACTTTGGGGGGTAAATAGTTATGCACGCTCAAGGGAAGAAAACGTAGTAACTTCAAAACAATGGAAAGATTGTTCCCGTGCAAAATGTCAAAATGTCAACCGTTTGACTGGTGTTAAGGAAATGAAAAGCTGAGAAAACGATGAAACATTTTTCTGATAAGATTTCAGTTTGTCTTGGGCACATATTCTATGTGGTTAAAATACTATCTGCTTGCATAACACTGTCAAAAAGAATATGTTACACACACATATTCACATTTTCTCATGAGATGCTGAAAGAAGTCAATCATATTTCTCCACTCCTGTTCCCGAGACAACATTTTAAAATGTCTGTATAATTTTACTGCAAGAAATGCATAATGCTGCAGGAGTTCATATTATGTTAGGGCACATGTGAGAAGTTATAGGCCTCTAGTCAGTGTCCAGATTTCAGCTACCATTCCATATAACCCATATGAACTTACATTATAAACTTTCTGTTTATTCAAGGATACAGGGATACTCGTGAGGTTCCAATGGTTAAGATGTTGGTTTCCTGAGTGGGAGACTGGGGTTCAGATCCCACCAGTTACAATCTTACCAGTTACACCCTGTCCCCTTCTCTGATTGTCAGCTGTTGTCAAACACACGTGGGTCTGAAAATACAATTCTCTTTGTCAATAATGTGCAGCGAATTCATAGTAGGGGCTCTGTTTTCGGCTGGCGTTAAAGCAGCGCAATTGTCAAATGCAAATCTGTTATTATTAGGGATACTCAAGTATTCTGTTACTGTTACCGCATATAAACATCATATCCCATTTACAATAACCCGAAAGAGTTTGTATCCCAGTTATGAGAAATCCAGATAAGATGCCTGAGATATCCTGATCTTAAGGGCTATACTGTGTCATGTCAACACCTTATCCCGTTTACTGTTGTTCTTTGCGGTCTGCTGAGGCTCCGTTTCGCCTATCATGGGTGTTGTGTGAGGATATACAGTAAAAAGCAATGCATCTAAAATATGTGTGAAGATAAAATGTCTTGAGTATAATTAGAAATGTTGATACAAGAATGGGAGGGGTGTGTGGCGAAGATATTGGCGGTCTTTCTCCAGAATGCATTGAGCTGTCTCCTGCCAATTCTTGCAAATTCATTGTTTTGTTGTGTTAATTGTTTGCCCTTTGATTGTTTTATTTTGTAAAATAGATTCCCCATTAAATATGTCACCAGTAGTACATTTATCTTTAAATCCGTCATTAGGTTACATTAATTTTTGTTAATCCATGGATTAATTAGGATGTAATTTATTGAATATCATTATAAAATATGCATAAAATGCATCCTCCAATCGCAATGTCTACCTATGCTCACACATATTGTCTCAATGGCATTATCACTGTAAATCTAGGCTGGTCACCCGTGATACAAGTCAATATTCAACATCCATCCATGTCTGAGGACATCGGGAGATGACGTGGAAACCGGCCACTAGGGGCAACAGTGAGCGCTGTTACCTTGAAGTAGGTTTAGGTTTTTTAATTTTTTTAATTTTATTTCACCTTTATTTAACCAGGTAAGCCAGTTGAGAACAGGTTCTCATTTACAACTGCGACCTGGCCAAGACAAAGCAAAGTAGTGCAACAAAAACAACAGAGTTACATATGGGGTAAAAAAAAACATGAAGTCAGAAATACAACAGAAAATATATATACAGTGTGTGCAAATGTAGCAAGTTATGGAGGTAAGGCAATAAATAGGCTATAGTGCAGAATAATTACAATAGTATTAACACTGGAATGCTAGATGTGCAAGAGATTATGTGCAAATAGAGATACTGGGGTGCAAAAGAGCAAATTAAATAACAATATAGGGATGAGGTAGTTGGGTGGGCTAATTTCAGATGGGCTGTGTACAGGTGCAGTGATCGGTAAGGTGCTCTGACAACTGATGCTTAAAGTTATTGAGGGAGATAAGAGTCTCCAGCTTCAGAGATTTTTGCAATTCGTTCCAGTCATTGGCAGCAGAGAACTGGAAGGAATGGCGGCCAAAGGAGGTGTTGGCTTTGGGAATGACCAGTGAGATATACCTGCTGGAGCGCAGACTACGGGTGGGTGCTGCTATGGTGACCAATGAGCTAAGATAAGGCGGGGATTTGCCTAGCAGTGATTTATAGATGGCCTGGAGCCAGTGGGTTTGACGACGAACATGTAGTGAGGACCAGCCAACAAGAGCGTACAGGTCACAGTGGTGGGTAGTGTATGGGGCTTTGGAGACAAAACGGATGGCACTGTGATAGACTACATCCAATTTGCTGAGTAGAGTGTTGGAGGCTATTTTATAAATGACATCGCCGAAGTCAAGGATCGGTAGGATAGTCAGTTTTACGAGGGCATGTTTGGCAGCATGAGTGAAGGAGGCTTTGTTGCGAAATAGGAAGCCGATTCTAGATTTAACTTTGGATTGGAGATTCTTTATGTGAGTCTGGAAGTTGAGTTTACAGTCTAACCAGACACCTAGATATTTGTAGTTGTCCACATACTCTAGGTCAGACCTGTCGAGAGTGGTGATTCTTGTCGGGTGGGCGGGTGCTAGCAGCGTTCGATTGAAAAGCATGCATTTAGTTTTACTAGTGTTTAAGAGCAGTTGAAGGCTACTGAAGGATTGTTGTATGGCATTGAAGCTCGTTTGGAGGTTTGTTAACACAGTGTCCAATGAAGGGCCAGATGTATACAAAATGGTGTCGTCTGCGTAGAGGTGGATCTGAGAGTCACCAGCAGCAAGAGCGACATCATTGATATACACAGAGAAAAGTGTCGGCCCAATAATTGAACCCTGTGGCACCCCCATAGAGACTGCCATAGGTCCAGACAACAGGCCCTCCGATTTGACACACTGAACTCTATCTGAGAAGTAGT